GACCATTCATCCTGTATTATACGGGACAGTCCTCTTTTCTGACCCATTGTCCTGGCAATTTATTTATTTTATACGGGACGCCAAATGTTCTGTATTTCTTGTAATGCCTTGTATTTGTCCCGTATTCCGTGTTTCGATGCCTTAACAGCTCTTTAAAATGTCATTCATATGAACGAGTTATAAGTGATGTTGGCATATGATCGCAATTTTCTCCATAAACTGTAATTATTTTCTAATCTGAATGCCTGTGTCTTGATTCGAGGAATGAATACAGTGACCAAAATATAAATAAGAACTCAACATTTTAGCAAAGTTTTGGCTATATTTCCTTAGTTTATTTAATGTTTATTATTTTTATGAAAGTTAAGCTCTTTTTCAAACAAAAACCATATAATTCTGTTTAGATGCGACTGCTAACACCAGGCGCCTAAATTCGTGCTATGTGCTGCTGCATGTCCACAAATTTCCTTCATTAAATTAATGAAATTTTCGCACATGCACTTCTCAACTGCCATGTAATAAAACTTACTCAAGTTATAATTTGATGGCAGTTCAAAGTATGCTCAGCCAAGTCTGATGCATCCTCCTGACAACTATCCGGAGCATTTTCGGACTCTGCATGACATACAATCTTGCAGAGGTGGTTAAAGAACTTTACTATTGGCCACAGTGCCTACTAGGGATCCCGAAAATTTTGAAATATCGAATTGATAGTAAGAATTTGTTTATGAATTTTGAAGTATGATTTTTGTAAAATGCCCTTTTGACTGCAATTAACAAAATGCTTGAAACTGTACTTTTAAATTGCAGTCTGAGCTTTTTTTGAAGAAGATTTCAATGAATTTACTCATAGCGTCGCTAATGTAAACGAAACAGAGAGTTTTAAGGAAAAGTTAGATAATTTTTAGATCCGTCTACTCAAAACTTCCTCAAATCGAAAAAGGAGAAACGTGCTGTTAAAAGAAGTTCAAAAAGGGTCATTGTCTTCAAATGGATTATGTCTATCTTTGGCAGTTCAGCCTAAAAGTGTTGATTTCGAAATATGTTTTTAATCAGTAGGTTTTGTATGTAAAAACTGTAGGTCAAGCTTGAATGCTTTACTGCTCTTATGAAAACATGTTAAATGCAATAATAACAACACCGGAAAAAAGGGGTGTGTGTTTTTAACCAGACCCACCTACCAACATGTATTTCGATCCGCTGAATACGATTCTGAGATCCGTTTGGCTCGTACACCCTCAAAATTTCTAGTAAATTGAGAAAAAAATGGCAAAAAATTCTCCATTCGACATTACTTCATAGCGTAGAATAAACATGTTTAGAGAAATTGTTTTTGTATATTTTTGTTATATGATTTTTTTACTACTCGTTACTTTCAAAAGTACCTGGTATTTAAATTATTATTTGTGAGGTATACGTTCCGCAATCACATGGTTTTTTAAATACAATTAAAAAAATGTTTTACTTTAAAATTTGTCTGATTTAATAAATATCGCTAGCGTAGAGTGCAAAGTTGCTAAGTCCCAATTTAAAAATTGTACAGGAGAGGAAAAAACTTCGTATTCTTCAAGTATTTCGCAAAACTTTGAATACAACATTTTGCCTGTTTAAAACAAAGCAAAACTCGATATGAATCAGAGGGATTTGATCTTTATTAAAAGATTTCGTTTTTTTTTATCGCTTTTTTTATTTTATTAGAGCTTTTTTTGGCCTTAGCAAATTTTCCTTTCATTGAATGTAAACGAGAAAACATAAAACATGGACCTCTACCCTTTTAGAAACGATGCAATATTAATTTATCTAGCCTCCTATATCAAAATACGATTTTTCATTAAAAGTGAAGTTAGCATTTTTTCACTCTAAGCTAGCGATATTCCCCTCTCACTGAGTTACTCAAATATCAAATTTCTAACTTAGTGCAAAAAACTATAAAAATTAATTCTGCAATGTTTCCCCAAAATCGTCAACAAAAAAAATTGTCAAAAATTAACAAACAAAAAATTATAAATATAATAATTAATAAAATTAACGACTTCAAAGTCGCACTTTATTATACTAAAATTTAAGGTTGTTTTTAAACAAAATTTGCGAGTTAAAAATCTCGAGGAAAATCCATACAAATTTGTGGTGTTACTACAAGGATGCTGTTTCAAGGCTTATACATTTAGGATTAATGAAGAAGACTTTAATATGAATAAGTTTTTGTGGAGAAAATTTGCAAAATTACCTTTTGTCCCGTATTCGACTCCCATAAATATGGTCACCGTAATTATAGTACCACTTTCTTATGTAAATTTTATAAACGCAAACTCCAACGACTAAAAAACAGCAATAGAAGGATGAGCGATTAAAAAGTATTCACAGTCGCTAATTGAGCGACTAAGCGACACTCGCAATAGCATCGATAATCGATAATCGCTTAATAGTCGTTTATCTACTGCCAGTCGACATTCGCAATAGGGGTGAATAACTAATATTTTAACATTTTAATAACATCTAAACTTCCAAGTTATATAATAAAAAAAAAAATAATTTCAAAGCCTTCTAGTTTGTTTCTGGTAGTAATTTCTAAGTGTCGCAGTTTTGGTGTGTTCACCTTTTAGTTACATCTCCAGATAGTTGGACTTTGCACAAGCAATATTTGATGATCGATATATCCACATACATACCTGTAAGTGCAAAGTGACCTTCCTAATTAGCATCAGCTGTTTTTTATTTGTTTTGCTCGTTTGTTTTTCGGGTGGGTTCTAATTCCAATGTAAGTTTTCCCGACAAAGTTTATAGATTATAAAAATGTGTGTTTATAGTGTTTTGATTACCCTTAGGAAATGCCAAAAAGAACGTATAAATTCCTTTCCGCTTACACAGAAGAGTGCGTCATTTGTTTATATTTTTTGAAGTTATAGTACCTTAAAAGAGAGCCTCACTGAGTTGTCAACCACACCTTGTTTAATACACCTAATGTGGATCAATGTTTTTTTCTTATTTCATCTCAATAGACTAAGGAAAGAAATTTGCTCAATATAAGTACATATGTGAGTTAAATGACGTGCACAGAGTTTTAAAATTATATTAAGGAAAAGTCAGAAGTTTTGAAAAAAGTTCACAACAACGAAAAATATGGCTGATTTTTTAATGTTATCTTGTACTTAATTTTTTTTTCATTAAACCTGGTGTACTTATATGTAAGTACCGTACAAAATTATTGGCTCAGAGAATTTTTCATCAGATTCTTTAGAAAAATGTTGAAAATGTAGCAGTTTCTTTCATACAAAAAGAATTGTCGAACATAGTTTGTATGGAAGACTCTGTCAGCAAAAAATTATCAAAAATGAACTAAAATTGTTGGGCCACAAAACTTCTTTTCAAAATTTGTATAAAAAGTCTGATTAGAAAGTGGCAAATTTGTATGCAGGTTTGTTGAAATTTCCCGAGTTTCGCACAAAGTCTAGAAATTCTGTTTTTGTTTTTTTTTGATGTAGTATAAACGGTATATGTATTTATATAAAATTAAAGCAAACAAATTTTGAATGCATTGTGCCAATAATTTTGGGCGGCACTATGGCTGCGTTTCTTTATACATTCCGGATAATCCCATTTCACAGCCGGAATAAACAGAATGCGTTTGAAATATACGTCAACATATCATCAGGAACGTTCTAAAGAATAAATAAACAAAAAAGTTTATTCCAAACGTTCATGAATAAAGAAATGGCGCCTATATGTTTATTTTGAACTTTAGTACGTTGAAACGATCTCATCTTTTTATGGTTTTGTTTTTGACTTGCCAAAATAAAATTTTGCTACATACTTTCGTACGTAAGTAATTTTTGTCTAAAGGAAAGGAAAGGGATAGGCGGTTGTGGTGTTAGATTTTCCAAAGTGTCCCGGTTTGCCAACGGAGATACTAAAATTTCGATTTTCTTCTGCTTAGAAAAGTTACATTAAAATACTAGTGGTATTCATCTAAACCGATAACTTTATCAAGCAGATAATCTTATAAGTTTATGCACTCTGTTACATGAACGACCCACACTCTCTTTTCGTTTACACATGCGACAATAGTCGTGTTTTCTTTGGTTGTAAAGCGCAGTGTCACTAACTTTATACTACTAGCACGGGGATAAAGAAATTATAGAAACTACCTCACTAAATTGAAAAAAATTATATTTACGAGATATCTATTTAAATAAATGTACATATAACATAAAGGCTATTTATTTGAAGCAAGTTATAAGAAACAATGGCAGAATGTCTGTTTGTGTATGAATTCATTTGTCACGGCTACCAAACTTTGCGAATTATCAGTGAAACAAAACAAACAGACGGGATAATAATTGAACCAGATCTCTATCAGGATCATATCGTTGTTGAATTTGCGTGCAAAATTTGTATGCGGATCCCGATTATTGCCTAAGAAAACATAGCTAGAGTTGCGACAGAGTTGCATTGTCTTCAGTTTATCAAGTTTATTCAGTGAAATCGCTGGATAAATTTATCAGAAATGTGTAAACGAGTTTCCATACAAATTTTGACAGTTCATTTATAAGGTTTACACAATTATAAGTTTATACGGTTTACAATGCATTTATAAGGTTTGATGAATACCCTTACTATATTTTACCAAATAACCCAATAAATTAAAAACAAATAAATATACTATAGTCTCCAAATAGTGTCAAATATTGCTAGAAGTTGTAATTTAATTTAAAAATAAATAAAATATAAAAATCAATAATATTTGAAGGAGCTGAAATCCGCACCAGCAAATAACGATATATTTGTACTGGGAAATTGCAACTGGTAAATTTTTTAAATGAATTATTAAATCTATGCATGCTCCAACTTATTTTATTAAATTTTTGTGGTGTTATTTAATTTGATTTGAATAAAATAAAATACCATATTAAAAAATCTTTGCATATTTTTACACCAGTTAGTACAAATGATGCCATATGGCATCATTCCAAAAAACACTTTAGAATCGCATTTTGGAAAAAGATTAAATTGAATGTTATTATATTATGTATTAAGGATCATTTAATAAAAAAAATTGGATTTTTAAAGCCCGAATCTAAAAAGATGTAACGAAAGGGTTAAGCTCATTTACAAAGTTATTAATTTGTCTAATTCTAAGCTAAAGAATCCATCGATTAAATAAATTTCACTGGGGCAATTCACATTACTAGGAATAAGCACGGTATCATCCAAAAGGCATGACCATATAATTTTGCTAAGATTATAGTCACCAAGTATACACAATTGGGCTTCCTTATTTGCAAGTGATAAATCTAAAACATTATCTACATGATCACAGTATAGTTTCTCTGATCTGTTAGGTGGTTACTATATAAGATACACAAATTCGCTGTCCGAACTATGTGGATACTTTTTCGAAAATGAGCCTGAAAATATTATGAAAATCAATTTTTGAAAAATTATTTTTGTTTTCAAATTAAAATACTTTTTAAAGCCATTGTCACACTCAGTGATCTAGCTGACATTTTGGTTTCTGTGCCCTTCCAAGATAAATGCTGAGCGGCTTCATCCGGTAATATTTTTCGCCAGGCAGCCTTTACATACTTTTCCGCAGATTGTGAAAACACTAATGATAACTCAGCCACCTGAAAAAATGGATTATCAATTGCTTAATTTCCAAGTTATATCAGAACAATTAAAATAAAACCTTACCAGGCTATTAAATTTGGAGTGATGTTCTTGAATTTCTTTTTCAAATGCTTTGAATTCATCTAGACTGGTATACGGTTGTTTGGAAGACTGGTGGCCACTTTCCTTTCTGTATGGTTCTGACTTCTTACTTTCGTTTCTTCCAAAATGCGAGTAAGAGTCTTCTTCACCGATTTTTGGTTGTGATTTAATTCTACAAAGATATACAATATTTATACTTGTAGATATCGATGGTACTCCGCAATAACGACACAATAAAATAAAATCTTACTACGGTTAAGTGTCTCATGTCTCTAATACTTGTCTAATACATTTCTATCGCTTACTACTTAATATGGTAAGGATTAGAAATGCATTAGACAATGTCTTAGAGACACGAGCCAATTACAATATTATTAGAGTTCTTTTCAAATCTTAGTTGGGCTATTCTAGTTCACAAAACATCTCTTTTGGGTGATAATAAAGAGTCAGACATCCAGTTCTGTTTTAAGTGTCTTATTTTAAATAAAAAAATTGTCTAGATGGATCACGCCTTACGTACATACCAGACAATATTTTTCTCTCTGTTTTTTTCAATTCATCTAAAATTTTTTGTTCCAAGTTTTTGAGATCTGAAAAGAAAAAGTTAATGTAAGGTTGTACAATTTTATGGTGATCTTGGTGATCGGTGTATTATCCGACGTGTTATCATATACACTATTTAAGGCCATGTTCATGTCCATGTCTGTATTACTTTTGTATGTATTATGTTGTTGTATTACTTAAGTTGAACTTTTTAAATCTAAGATGAATGTAGGAAAGGAATGAAGAAATTAATATTGCCTTCAAAATTTTGGAACTTAATAATTTCTTCGGATATTTCCTCTAATGAATGTTAGACTTTGGTCGTGGAAAAATTTAATACATTACAACATTTAATATTAAGATTACCAGATTGTATGGGCGTATTAAAAAAGTTTTGTAAATTCAAAACTTCTACACCTTCAAAATTAATATATGGTTTCCCTGGATAGTTACTATCTTATATATTCTGTTTTCAACGATGTAGAAGTAGTCAGGTTCTTTTGGTGAGAAAAAAAAATCGGATGTCCTTAAAAAGGAAAAAGTTCCATTACTAAAACGTCCTCTTTGTAGTTCATTTATTGAAGTGGAATGCTTCTGTCGGTTTAAGCTATCTTCGACTAATCGGTTGTACACCTGTGCAGCAACATGATCATGCTTTCATATTTTTCGTTTTAATTTCGACAAATAAATCTCAAATTTAAACGCACTAAAAGTATCTAAACAACCGAAATGTAAGGTATCACTAGCCAAATGTGTCAAACAGTGGAAGTTGAAAGTCAAGAATGATTCTTCATAACACTCGGATATATTTTCTACAAACTTGTTTAACATTACATTTGCACAATTATTATATTTAATGTAGTGTTTCGGACTTAAAAGAATTCTAATTCCTAAACTAGAAAACAAAAAATGAGTATACCTAATTGGATCCAAAACATCTTTTAATATAAATATGCCTGTGTAAAGCAAAAATGCTCTGAATTCTATGGCTTTAAAACGTTTAACATATTTTAAGGATCGAGGCCGCCTAGCAAAGTCCTTTGGAATTTGATTATATAGAAAACTAAGTTTGGAGTTCAGTAACTGAATTTTTTCAAGTCGAAGAGAGTAGGGCTTATTTCGCTTTTTTATCCACGCCAGTAACAAAGTCTTTGTCCCTCCCAGACAAACTATATGCCCGAATGACTTCACTATATCAATTGGTAGTCTTCCTATAGCTGTTTGATCCATATTAACGTCCTATCAGCATTATTTTCTTTTGCAAAAATAATCTTGTGGTATTTTGATTGACCGCTTTGGGTACACTTTAAACAACTATTATAGCCAGAACGACCTTTTATACCTAAAACAAATGCAGGTGCATCGCATATAAATCCTCGACATGCAAAAGTGTAATGCTTTTTCTTAAAAAATAAGCCATTTTCATTTGAAGGCTTCAATTCGTCAACAAATTTTTCAAAGGAATTCATTAGCATTGGATGATTTACTGTTTCCGCAGTAAGCTCCTACAACTCTAACGTCATCTGATCCATCAACGTTTATCAAAATTGGCCATTTCTGAACAACATTAATGTTTAAATTTAAACTATTTGCAGTAAAATGATTTTGTAGTAGAAAATCCGTCAGAGCATCTTCAACTCCATAATGTATGTACTCCCCCGTGCCCATTGCTATTCTCTGTGTTTCTTTGGGAGTATTTTTTTAACGTCCTAGCACATAAAGGAAGACCTGGAGCATAATTTCTTAAGATCTTAAGCAAGTCGTCTGTCGCAGTATTCGTGACGTAATGCTTAATTGTCCAATCTGTCAATTTCTCGCGGAGCCCGCATATAGAATTAGATCCAGAGTCATCGGAGTCACAGTTATTAGTTTCGCTGTCTTCATTGCGGTCAAGACACGAAAAAGAAGCCACCGAGTTTTCACCACTAATAAATTCGTCTTGAAGGGCTGTAGCTCTCAGTTCCGGCTGGTTATCTTCAACCCGCGCAAGCATCAAATTCAGTATTTGCGCACTTTCTCTTTTAACTTTTTTTCTACTCATTGTTATTTTGTTTTGCAATTGAATTTAATTTTATTCTTACAATTTTTGTTTAACTGCGCACTTCCAAATCGTTTGACATCAATTTTAGAGATGAACAATTCTTAGCAAAATGTATCGATAATTATAACGTTACCATGTTCCTTCAGATCAATCTCAAATGAATTTCAAATATAGAATGTAAACCACGATTTCAATTTGAGAATCATTTGAGAAAAGCATTTGATATCAAATCGAGAAATAAATTTTTCTCAAACGTTTGAAACAGTGTTTGCTGGGTTACGATTGACCCCGTAAAATTTCCCAATATTCCATTGTGTTAAAATTTCGTTAGGAGACACCAGGGTTACATTGTACTTTAAACATGTAACAAAATTCACCGGTTACAAGAGAGCATAGAATGGGAAAACATTTAAGGGAACTTCATTTGCAGGTTATGGAATTTTTGGTCCAGCGCAGAATAGACCTGTAGCCGGTAAGTAACGTTCTCGTTTCAGGGTTTTTGAATAAATTTTTTTAATTTTTCGGATATGAATCTGATAAAAAATAGAGCGAGGCAGAGTCTTACTTACAAAACCTTTCATTATTGAATCATGCACCCGGTGGATTTCTTTTTAAACGACTTGAAAAAAGGAGAGGGTCTTCAAATCGTCGGAAATATTTTTTTTTATGTATGTTACCGCATAGGATTGTTGATATTACTATTGATATCGAAGATACTTTTTGCTCCCGATACGATATTATTGGCGCGATATTTTTTTTGACGATAATATCAGATATCGATATTTTACGCACAAATATCGCCTGGTTACCAGAAAAAATAATTGTATGCTTTAGCTAGCATTATTAACGATACTTCTTATATTTAAGTGGTTTATTTTTTACACCGTCTCAACAAACTTTAATATACATAAGCAAGCAACGGATTTTAAGACCTAAAAACCTATTAAAAAGGCAAAATAAAATAACGAAATAGGCAGGAAAAGGCACTAGAAATCGCAAAAAGGCAAAAGAAGGCACTAAAGTAGAAAAAAACAGAAAAATAATCAATAAATACATTTATTTTAGAAATGTTTATTTTACAAGTAAAAAGAGAACAAGTAAGAAAGTCTAAGTTCGGGCGGAGCCGAACATTAAATACCCGGCGCATGTATTAAATACATATATGATTTTCACCTTTCCGAAAGCGACCGCTACATGGTAAGCCGGGGTGTATCAATTTTGAGTAAATTAGCGTCCTTAAATTTCGAAATATTGAAGTTTCAAGCACTTCTGAAATTTACCGTTATATGAAAAGCGGCCTCAATTTTAGTCCGAATTCAATAATTTTCAACGTTTTACTTTTAAGTGGCAAACACAATAACTATACCGAGTTTGGTACAAATTGGTAGAACGGTTACCGAGATACATATATGTATGTGATCATAAGTGGGCGGTGCCACGCCCATTTTCCAAAATTTTACTATAAACGTATTTCTTGGTAAAGAATTGTTGCAAGCATCAGTTTTTAATAAATTAGCTTTAATATTTATTGATTTATCGAAGATTTCGTATTTTTCCAAATTACCGTTATATGGGATGTGGGCGTGGTTATTGTCCGATTTTAAAAATCTTCGGCCGTTTGGTATGCTGTAGCAAGGCTAACAACTGTGCCAAGTTTGGAAGAAATTGGTGCAGCGGTTACCAAGATATACACATGTAAGCATAAGTGGGCGTGGCTACGCCCATTTTCCAAAAATTTATAATAGTCTTATTTTTCGTCAAAAAATTATTGTAAATATCAATTTTTATTGAATAATCTTCAGTAGTTACTAAAATATCGCAGTTTTCGTATTTCTGAAAATTACCGTTATATGGGAGGTAGGCGTGGTTATTGTCCGGTTTTGCCCATTTTCAATACCATCCGTCCTACGCCAGAGAGAAGTGCACATACAAAGTTTCGTTAAGATAGCTCAATTTTTGCTCGAGTTATCGTGTGCACAGACGGACGGACGGACGGACAGACAGTCGCCGCTTAATCGATTTCTCTTTTCATTCTGATCATTTATGTATACATTTGTCTATATCTATCTCGATTCGTTTTGCCTGTTACAAACAACCGTTATGTGAACAAAGTTATAATACCCTTGTGCACAAGTGCGCTCGGGTATAAAAAATGTGAGCTATTTTCATTATATGAAAAATTTCTACTTTGAATCTTTGACTATTTTCTCCTTTCGAGTTTTTATCTCAAAACTTTAATCTCTATAGTTGTAGTAATATTGAACCAACAGATGCATTTTGAAGTTTTCTGGGAGCATTTTCATTCGATTATCGCGAAGAAAAGCCTTGAATATACCAAACGTACGCTCGACGTGAGTTGATACAAGTGGCGCCCAATTTAAATATGGAATGTTTAAAACCTTCATATTATCAGCAATAAGTGCCTTTTCCTTGCCCTTTACAACTAAAGGCCAGTATGCAGCTCTCAAGAAAACGGAGAAGAAAAAAATTGCCATTATTTCGTGTGTGATGTGTTGACATCTGATACTTCACATCCTGTTGCCTCACTCTTTCCTCAAGAAATAAGGGTATGGGCAAATATTCCTGTTGCAAACATGGGTTGCCTTGTGATCTTTTTTCGCAAAAGAAAACTTTAGAAAACCGTATTAGAAGGCGTAGCAAACTTCTTAAGGACGGCGTACTGCCTTAAGGAAGTTTGACACAAAAAAAAATTTCTTAGCCATTTCTTGTACGTTATTTTATATGGCCTTTTTGCTTTTTTGCTGAGAGCTGCATACTGGCCCTTAAGGAAGAAAAGGCAAATATCTTAAAAAAGGGAAAAAAGCAACATCAAATGTGTATATATGGAAGCAGTGAAAGCTAAGTCGTGGACATTCTTAATCGAATATACTCTATCTCTTTAGCAGAAAAAAGGCAATTTCCATAAAATCCGTTCCCTGTTCATAAGTATGTGAGTTAAACTGTCTGCCAACAGATCTTTCACATATGGAAAATGTAAAATGAATAATACTGTAAGTTATTCTTCATTTCTTCTAATTATTACCCAACAAGAAAAATAAACTTAAAGAAAGTTTTTTTTTAAGTTTTCAATTACAAACCTTAAGCTTACAAAACGTTGATTTTTTGTTTATAAAACGCTTGAAAGTAAGCGTAATATAATCGCAAAGGAACATTGGTTATAAGCGTAGAAATATAAACTTGTAATAAATGTTCAAAAGAAAGCTTTTTATAACCGTAAAAGTCTAAACTTATAATAAAGGTTCAAAAAAAATTGTTTATAAGCGTATGAATATAAACTTACTAAAAATTTTCAAAAGAAAGCTTTTTATAAACATTTTTATAACCCTTTATTTAAAGATATTTCATTAAAAACTCATACATAGATTGCTTAACATCTAGAAACTAAACGAAATGCGAATTTTCGGCGGACTCATCTACAGTCGCGAAAATATAAATAGGGAATAGACATTTTAGCATACAAATTCACGATAACACACAAAAATTAAGCATAAAAAAGTTAATTATTACATCTTGTTGGGTGCTTTCAATTACATGCGGGTTTTGGCAAATTGGAAAAACGACATCGATGCAGCTATATATTCCGCTTCATCGCCGCCATTCTCATTGATGAACTTTTCTGAAAAAAATTTAATACATTTTTAATTGAATGTTAAACTAAGAAAGGATAAGGAGAACTCATCATTTGAAGACTCGAATGCTCCACCGATTAGCGCAGCGGGTCCTGGATTGGATTTTTTTTTACCGCCATGCTTATTTAACGCTTATTATAGCAAACTTACTGTAAGTTATTTTTAAAAACATTTACTGAAATGCTTGTTGGGATATTGAACAAGGATTCATAAACATTTCAAATGTGTTTTTAGTGCGATACATCGATATATCGATATTTCAAAAACGATATCGATACGATAATTTTTTTAATTTCACCATTTCGATATATCGGAAAGCGATATTTTTGAAAATATCAACAATCCTATTACCGCATAACTTTGAACCACGTCCACCGATTTCTATAATTCTTGTTTTAAAGGAAAGGTGATACTTCTGAAATAGTCCCATCCTAATTTGTTTAGATCCGATCAGTGGATCATGAAGAAATTAACGGTAATCTTAAATTTTTATATGAGAATTCAAGTTTTGTTTTTTGCTTAAAAATTATTGTTTTTCACACTTCATCTGCTTCCATTAAGAAAATACCTACTAAGTACCATGATACAAAGAAAAAGAAGGTTGTTTCACTTTTAATTTTTTTGACATAAACTGTGCTTACTGACGTTTCTACTTTTCGTAAATTGTTGAAATAGCACTTCCACCTAATCAAATAATTATTTTGGAAATTTTAATATTTTTTTAAGGAATATTTATTTTATTAAAAAGTAAGTTGTAACACACGAGGTAAATACACTTACATGATTGTTCGTATTAAAAGAACTGCGTATTGATTTAAATTGGTATACATGTAAGGCACCCCAAAAATGTAGCATTATCTTTTACATGATATATTATATGCAGTTGGTCCTTTAAGAAACTAAGTAGGATGTTGCTTTATTTCGGATTCTAGGGAAGCATACTCACTCTACTCGTATCGCGTTTCGCTCTAATTGGGCGCATCCGTTCCTCCGGTTGAAATCTTTCGCGGAAAAGTGCTCGAACAAACAAACGATACTTTTGGTAACGCATTTTCAGTTACCATGCACGCGGATAACCACTTTTCCCGCATATGTGGTACCGCCGGGAGTCGAAAAAACTATGTTAGTTTTTTTCGGAATTCCTTCTTGTTATTTTTGCAGCTCCTAAATATGCAGCTCATCTTACTAAAAAAACAATAAAAAAAATTAACAACAGTGAATGCATATTTTATGTGAATACAATGTAATGTTTCAATTACGTTCCGTTTTATACTCACTATCGCCAAAAGCTTTAATTTCTTTTAAATAATTATATTTTTGTTTGAAGTAGGTAATCAACCACTTTTTTACTTTCGTCAAAAGAATATGGTAGCTCGGTTTCAAAAGAAAATGCCAAAAGCACAGTTTACGTCAAATGGGAGCAATGGCGGCTAAGAAGAAGAAGTGAAACTAAACTAACTATCTAAAGATATTTGTATCATGCTAAGTACTAACCATTTTCCACGTTTGGAATTTGTTTATCTACGCAAATACAAGCATTTAACATAGGCGTTAAAACTCCAACTATAGTCATATCGTTTTTCTTTTCCAACGGATTTTATATTTGACAAGACACCAAGATATAGAAAATAATAATAAATTGGCGCTTACACCTATGTATGCTAGTGTCTGGCCGAGCTCCTCCTCCGATTTGTGGCGTACGCCTTGATGTTGTCACACAAAGCGGAGGGTCCTACAGAAATACACTCGAAGGTACTCCATTGCCTGCCGAGGGGCGACCGCTGTTAAGAAGAAACCTTTTTATACATATTTTTGCGATGTTGCTTTGACCAGGGCTTGAACCCAGGCCCTGCGCACTGCTTACCACGACACCACAGCGGCCGCTGATAAAAACATAAGGTAAATCCACTGAGAGGCAGTCTGACGTTTCCAGCAATATAATTTAAAAATTCAAAACTCAAACACGCACACATTCTCATTTTCAATCTCAAACAACAATAATTGTGAACAATCTCTTTTTTTTTATTTTCAATTTTATATGATTTTAAAATGCTTGCAAACGTCAGAAAAAAGCATGGCCGACGAATTGAGAGAATGAATTTACCTTGACATTTTTTTATCCTGGAAATTCCACCTGCATTTTTTAAAAGTCAAAAACACCAAAGGTGCGGTTAAACGTGGCAATGCAAGCGCTTTATCTACGCATGTCGTTGTCAAAATGCGAAATCGAAAGTCTACGTTCCAGTGTAAACAGCCAGAAAGTCCTTTTCGCAGATTTGCAGAAATCACTTTCGGAAATAAAAATTGCAAGGTGTAACTACAACTGATATTACGCAAATCGCTTTCGAAAAAT